GGGGTGGGGGGGTTCCACCAGATCCCGGGGTCCTAGGAGCGGTTCAGAGCCCAGCTCCTCCGGAGAGAGGAAGAGACGGTATCCATATGGGGGATGAGTATCCATATGAGGGGCGGGGGCGGCCATTTCCGGGACAAAAACAGCCAAGGCCATGCTGGTATTTCAGGCGCGGAACTGTGCCCCCCAAATGAAGCCGATTCCTTCTATTGAAAAGTTGGTCCAGGCCCATCCAGAAAGATAAAGGAGGGGCTTTACTGGAACTGGAAACATACATTTCCCTTTGTCCTGCCTGCTTCTTTGTGATTGTGTGAGTGCGGGCGTGTGTGTGTGTGTGTGTGTGAGTTCTCTCTCCAGGGAGTGAGAATGGGAGGTTAAAATAGGAACTCAGAAGGTTGGGGTCCTATAACAGGCTGGACAGATAGCCTCTGTTTCCTCCTCTGTGAAATGGGCACATGGATGTAGCACTGGAGAGGGGCACTGTGGAACTACCACCCAGCACCAGTCAGGCCCCAACGTGCTGTTGATGTGTCTTGCTAGGTCAATTCTAACTGGAGGTGACCCCTTGTGTGTCAGAATAAATTCTGCTCCAAAGGGTTCTCAGTGACTGGATTCTGGAAATAGATTGCCTTTCTTCTGAGAAGGAGCCCTGGCGGCCAGTGGTTACAGAGTGGACTGCTGAAGGCATGTGGGCAGTTTGAAACCACCGGCCTCTCCTCCGTGAGAAACACGGGGCTTTCAACTCCAGTAAAGAATCACAGTCTCAGAAACTCACCGGGGCAGTTCGACCCTGTCCTGTAAGGTCGCTGTGGGTTGCCATCAACTTGATAGCAACGAATAAAAATACTTTCAGTGATCATTAGGTAAGAATCGATCATAACCACTTTCCGATGTGTTCTTCTACACGAAGCCAATGAATTATTAAGAGAATAAACCAAACCAACCTGCAACCGTCAGTCAAGCCAGACCCATGGCGACCCCAGGGGGCAGAGTGGAAGGGCTGCAGAGGCTGTCAGGAGCAGACTCCCAGGCACGTCTTCCAGGGCACCTTGGGTGCCACTTTTTCACTAGAAGTCGAGCGCTGAACCGTCACAGCTGCCCAGGGACTCCAGCAACTGGTTTCTCTCCCGTCGACACCTCCACCTCTCACCCGAACAATGCGAGAAGGATCTAGGCCAAGCACGCATGGAATACGTTCTGTCTCTCATGTCAGTGCGGCCAGTGATTGTTCATAATGTGTAGGATCAGCTCCCATGACGGAACCCTCCAGAGTCCAGCCCTGAATCACTCTTCAAGCCTGGAACGGAACTCAGCCCTGGGGCGCCATTTTCAATCAAACAATAGAATGATTGATAGATGGGGAACCAAAGAGCTTGGGGAGTTACTCACACTTAGAATAACGGCCCCTCCTTGTGAGATCCAGGGGTTGGCATTTGCCAGAAGGACAAAGTTCAGAAGGGGAGGGAAGAAGGAGGAGTGGAGCAGGCAATGCGGGGAGGAGGTGGAGTGAGTGGTGTTGCGTGGAGGGGCTGCGGTGAATGGGATGAAGCAAATGGTGAATATTTGAAGGTAAACCTGATGGACTGTTCTGTGAACCTTCACCAAATTCACACACACACACACACACACACAAAGCTAAGCTCCTTATTTGCCACCCAAGATCCTGCGACATCTAGCCCTTACCTACTAGCAATCTGCAGATCAGTATAGTATCCATATTACTTTAGTCTGATTTCATAGTTTCTGAGAAATTTTCTACTAACTAATTAAGTTTCCCAGAGTAATTCAGGGTTGCTCGTGGGTGGAGAGCCCCCAGATAGGAGCTTCGTCGGTCAGAAATACATATTACTGTTCTTGGAAAGCTGTATCGCCCATCTCAAATGTTACACCGACTTTATCAGATTCTCCAGGGTCAGATCGGTAGGAGGCATTCTCCCTGAGGCTAACCCACACGAGTTGTATGGAACCAATCAAATTACCCCTTCATCTACAACTTCATCTGCAACTTTGAGAAGCAGACCTCTGACAAGGAAAACACAGGTTGGCCTTTGTCCCTGCTTCCTGGAAAATAACCCTTGGAGTAATTGGGGTGCCTCTAGCTGACACCTCCAGACCACTGCTAAGGATTTGAGCTGACAAATTGGGGGAGATGGGGGCGCAGACCAGAGCAGAAAAGACACACCTGGGAAGCCAATGCCAACTAGCCTTGGGAAACATAATGTGGCCTATCATGTATGTGCAGTGAGGGCTCAGCCACCAGAGGCTGACAGAAGCTCTGAACACTGAGGCTCTTGGGGCTTCCTGGTTGGGAAAGGACAGGGGAACTTTGTATTGGGGCCCTTCCCAGACCTCACTCATGTATCTCTTCCCACAATGATCCTGACTAGTATCCTTTTGCTAGAATACATCTTACCATCATAAGCATAGTGCTGTCTGTGAGTGTGCCCTTCAGTGAATGACAGACACAAAGGAGTTGGGCAGAGCCTGCAGGTGAAAGTGAAGGTGCTCAGGAGAAGCCCTCCGGAGCTATAGACCAGCATCCCGTGGGGTAATGGAAAACCTTGACTCTTTGGCTAGTCGGTCAGAAGATTGGGGGTGTCAACTGGACCCCCTAAGACTGTGGCTGGCATCTACCTATTTGGCAGTTTGAAGGGCAGTGCCCTTCTACTTTGTGAGATCTGCCCTTGCTCTCTGGGTGGCGAGAAAGTGCCCCGTGGATTTGATTCCTCCTCAAGTTCTGGGGACCGAATTTCTTCTGATCCCTGAAGTTCCCAGCCAGACAAAGCCATCCTGAGCGGCTATCTGAGACCAGGTCACAGCTACCATCTTCCCTATCACCTCCTGGTCTCCACGTCTCCCTGTCTACAGGGGGCACAGCCTATGGGCTCTGTCCTGAGGCAGTGGCACCGTCCATCAGTTCCAACAGGAGCAACAGCATCAGACCATGTTCCCCTGACTCGTCAGGCTTTCAGCGACCCATTCCTTCAGAAGTGGATCACCAGGTCCGCTTTCCTAGTCTGGAAGCTCTGCTGAAGCCTGTCCACTCTGGGTGAAACTGCTGTATTTGAAATACTCCCAGTATCGTCAAACCCACAGCCATGGAGTGGATTGCACCTGATGGCAGCCCTGCAGGACAGTGTAGAAAGGTCCCCTTTGCTTTGCTGAGGCCATACATCTTGATGCCCTCTTTCTCTCGAAAAGCAGCTGGAGTTTGAACCTCTGGCCTGGCTAGCAGGCCAATGTGTCAGATGCCAACCACCGCCCTACAGCAAACTGACTGACCAGCAGTGATCATTGGGATTCACTCACTCAGTCTCACTGCCTTTAAGTCGATTCCAACTCATAGTGACTCTACAGGACCGGGTGGAACTGCCCCTGTGGGTTTCCAAGATAGGACCTCTTTACGGGAGTAGAATGCCTCCTCTTTCTCCTGGCAGTTGGAATAGCTAAGTTCAAATCCCATTTTCCAAGCTGGTTGCCCCAGCTCCTGGTCCTACACGGGTGGGAAAGTTGTGTCAGTTTTCTGAGTCTACTTCCGTTTCTCAAAGGGAGAGATTGTAATACTTACTATCTAGGATGAAACTTATACATACCTGTAAGATTAGAGCAGGTTTTACCAAAGCACTTGATCTTGTGAGGAGAAAGAGAGAGAGAGAGAGAGAGAGAGAGAGAGAGAGAGAGAGAGAGTCCTGATGGTGTAGTGGTTACACATTGAACTGCCAGCTGAAAGGTCAGCAGTACTAATCCACCAGTCGATCCTTGGGAGAAAAATGAGGCTTTCTACTCCCCTGAAGGGTTACAGTGCGTTCTTTCGATTGCTATGAGTTGGAATCAACTTGGTGGCCGTGAGTTAGGTCTGGTTTATTCCCAAATCAGCTTAATGCCAAAGATATGTCTCTGAAGGGCTGGTGCAAGGGGGAAGGGGAGAGGGGGTGTTGTCAAAAGAAGACAAAAACGTCTATTGTTCAATGAAACTATTTGGTGAATCTTTTTTTTTTTCTTTTCAGAAAACTTTAGAAAATGTACACAAGCCATGAAGACATTGGGCATGACTTTGAGGACGACGCCAAAGACAAGAAGAGACGGAAGCCCCACCCCGACATCGATGGCGGATGGGCCTGGGTGATTGTCCTGTCGTCTTTCTTTGTGCACGTCCTCATCATGGGCTCCCAGATGGCCCTGGGAGTCCTCAACTTGGAGTGGCTTGAAGAATTCCACCAGAGCCGTGGCCTCACCGCCTGGGTCAGCTCCCTCAGCATGGGCATCACCTTGATCGTGGGTATGTTGGCATGTGACCCGCAGGAAACGTGAATGGTTGTAAAATGAGAACCCCTTGGATGGCTACTCACTCCCACTGAGTCCATTCTGACTCATGGTGACCTGTGCCCAAGCAACATTTCAACCATTGTTGAAACAGAATATTATTTGTTTGGGCAATTTCCATTTGGGTTTTGAAATCATCTGTTGTATTTAAAATATGGGTCGTTGTGAAAAATTCTCCTCGACCCCAAATTCTGTTTTCTAAACTGGTGTAACTCACTGTTTATCGTGATTAGGCAGGCAGTCCCAGGGCAAATAATGAGATCTAGTCTTTGAGAGGAATTTGTAGTTTGGGTCAGAACAAGGGCATATGTATGGTTCTTATTGAGGCTGGAGCCCTAAAATGGCTCTGTCCAGTAAGCGTTGGACTGCTAACCACAAGGTCAGTGGTTCAAACCCCGGAGATGCTTCCCCAAGAAAGATGAGGCTGTCAGATACCACAAAGATTTACAGCCCCAGAAACCCTCCAGAGCGTCCCTCAGAGCCAGAATGAACTTGATGGCAGTGGCTTTCAGGAAAGAAAAGGCGTGAAGTCTGTCCAATTATTTAAAAGCTGCACACGAAGCAAGTGAAGGGAAGGTGATTGCACCAAAGTAGTGGTTGTGAGTGGGAGTGGGTTCAATCCTGTCAAAGAGAGAGCAGCTTTGCGTAACACAGGAGGGAAAATATTGACACCGTGGCTGGATGACGCCGGACTGGGCAGTGTTGCTATTCGACACCTAACAACAACGGCACTTGTCGGTAAGTTGGATGTTTGTATCCCGAGGACTGCTTGGCTAGATATCTGACATCAATGGATATTCTAAATGTTAGTGCAAACAGTGTGCTCAACGGCATCCCTGGCCACCAGCACATGACACCCCTGTGTGTTACAGAGCGGAACTACTCCAGAGGATGTTCATCTGTAGGGAAGCTGATCGCCCGGCCTTTCTTCTGTGGTACTGCTGGGTGGGTTTGAACTGCCAACCTTTAGGGGCCCAAACCATTTGTACCATCCCAGGACCAAGTAAATAGGATAAAAGTCAAGTAGCCATCTTATTTCAAATTTTTATTGGTTCTGATTTAAAGCATTGATCATATATTATATAAAGAAAGAATCTGCCAGACAAATACGTAGACAAGGATTAATCTGGGTGAAGGAGAAGGGCAATACCCAATAAAAAGGAGGTTGTGAAAATATGATGGGAGCGAGGGAAGACCCTGCGGGCATCAGAGGCCAATACTGTTATATTCACCATCCTGCAGTAACTGGTCTACGAGTAGAGGCATGGATGGACTTACAGGCTGAAGGGTGGCGGGAGAGTGAGTGGGAGTATATGCATGAATGTATGTTTGACAGAGGCTCTTTGTGGATGTGTTGATTGTTGTGTGGTGGGGCTCACAGAGGGCAAAGCTTTCGTGGAAACTTCTTATACATCACCAGATGCCTTGAGGGAGTAGGTCACTGGACCTGGGGGATCAGGATCATAGCCTCTGGGGACACCAAGGTCCAGGAGCATAACGTGGACTAACATAAAGACAATGTCTGACTGGGGTGAGTAGCATCTGGAGCCTTAAAACCTCACGAGCAGCCATTCAAAGTGCAACGATTGGTCTCTCCTCGTATGGAGGAAGGCAGAGTGATAAAAATCAAAAGGCACACAGCATCATTTAGCCCGATGGACTAAGGGACCACACAGACATGGTGCCAGGCGACCACACCCTGCTGCTCTGTAAGGGATCACACTAGATAGTCTTAGAGTGTGTGGAAGAAAAAATATGGAACAAACTCAAAATCATAAACGAGACCAGGCTTTCTTGTCAGATAAAGACCGAGGAAACCCTTCAGACTACAGTCCTTAGTCATCCTTCGGGTCTGGAACTAGGCTTCCCCCCATGTCTCTAGTTTCAGCCAAACAATAGACAAATAGGGTCTAAGGAGAACAATAGGAACCTGAGTGGCATCGTGGTTATGCCTTGGGCTGTTAACTGCTAGGTCATGAGTTCAAAACCACCTGCTGGAAAACAATAGTTTCTATTCCCTTAAAGAGTTATAGTCTTGGAAACTCGCAGGGGCAGTTCTACCCTGTTGTATCGGGCACTTGAGTCAGCCTCAGCTCTATGGCAGTGAGTTTGGTTTTTGTTTGAAGGCAACGTGAACACCAGCGATGTACTCCCACCTTTGAACAGCCAACCATTTGAGATCAAAACGGCAGCACTTACCCAAGGATAATGTTCAGAATAAGGAATAGCTAAGAAGAATCGATGCATTTGAATCATGATGTTGGAAAATAATATTAAAAGTACCGTGGACTGCTAAAAGGACAAACCAATCTGTCTTGGAAGAAGTATGGTCACAGTGCCCTTTAGAGGCAAGGATGCAAGACTTCATCTTAC